GCTGAAGTAGGACCCCAAATTGTCCAGGTTCCTTCCAGAAATATGTGTTATTGCTGAGCACATTGTATTTCAGGAGTTGTCTTAGAGGACACATGCAACGTTGTATATTTTTTCTTTTGTGTTTTCTTCTCCATCGTGATTTTATCTTCTTTCTTATCTTCATTTCCTGTAGTTTCAAATCTGGATTCAGCTGTTAACCTACAGGCAAAGCAACCATTCTAAATACATATTTAGTTAATATAAAACAGGACTAAAATCAGAATTTCAGGCAAAACCAACAAGTCAGCTGGCATACAAGCCCATCCATATGCAAAGACAGAGCAAGCAGTGCTTAAGAAGAAAATGAGACAAAATCAAAGCATTTTTATATCAGTCCTAATCACATTTCATCAGTTAAAGTAAAGCCTCCCCCACACCGGATCTGCTGAAATGCTTGGTAAAAAAGGTTAGTGAATATGTTAACTGGTTAGGATCAGCCTTCAAAAACAGCATCAGCTGTGCCATGCGCATAAAGGAGAGCAAGTCCCCAAAAGCACAACTCCAAGTGATAAGCCCCAGCAACATAATACAAGTATGACCAAATCAAGCTTCTTGCTTCTACACTACCATGAAAACCATACCCTTAAAGCAATATACTAGTGTCAGCCTAGTTCTCCACTACTATTGCCTGTATCTTAATGCCTTAAATACCTCAAGTTGTTGGGGGAAAATTTATTTTCAGGTTCTAAATTACATCATTTGTCCACTGACATGTTTTAATTCTGCTATGAATGTAAATGGGGACCCAACTGCCTCACTGCTGTTACAGAGATAAGTAATTCTGAAGTCAAAACATCAGACTGTGCTGATGTCTAAGTCTTGTTTTTAACTTAATAAACATGCCATCAAAACAATGATCAATAGTGGTATTTTGGCCAACTAAATCACCCACAGCCACTTGGCTGTTACACATGATGATTTTCACAACAAAACCAATTACGGAAAATGAAGTTCCAAATTAATCACTTTATATACCAACCCAAATTCTATACTAATTCATTGCCACATAGATTAAAGCAATTCTCTAGTGACCTTGCAGATTTCTGGTGGTTTCAGGAGCCTCCAGTGAGTAACACACAGCCATTGACAGCTACTTTCAATGATGGTTTTCCAAACCAAAATAGCTACTACGCAGTAGCTAGAGATTTACTTGCAATATAGAGAGCTGCAGCTCAACATGAGGACTATGAAAGGAGCTGTAACAAAAAAGTTTGGGGAAATTTAGCTACAGATTGAAACTAATATTGAACTATTATGTGTTGCAAGTAATGTACATATTATTCCCTACAAGCACTGTCTCAATAGACTAAAGAGAAAGAGGCTTTGCTGTGCACCTCCCCTGGATCTGTGTTTGCTCCACCATGTACTTTGCATTATGTCCACACTTGCAATTCCAAGGGCTAACCACTATGTCCATAGCCAGCTTTACCCCAGGCTGCCCTCCATTTTCAATTAGTCAAATCATTATGTGGTTATAGCAAGAGCCAATTATTCAGGAAAGAAAAAAGTGTGTTCTCAGCAATCTTTCTGTGGTTAGCACTTAGCCTGCAGTGCAGTCTCTGCTTCCCCAGCAGCTGTAATTAGGGATGGATAGCTGCTGTCTGTGCCTCTGCTCCTATGGCAGATTCCCTTCATTTGTCCCTCTGCTCTTCTGCCTTAAAACAACCTCTGTCCAAGGCCACCAAAACCACTACTCCAGTGCCCAAAATTCCCAACAAAGATTCCTTATGAAAATACAGGAAGAATTCAAACAAACCAAACGGCCAAATAAAAATCAAATTCACTTAATTATATTCCAAAGCAGCACAACTGGACTTATATACAATACTATTCTTCTCCACCCTTCTCCATTATTAGGTAATCCTGTTAGCATATAATTTAAGTGCTCTGGAAATCAAATTCATCTGTGCCTCTCTGTGAGGAGGATATAGAAGCTGGGAATGAAGGAGGGAAGCTGAGCCTGGAAAAAGGGCTGGGGCATAGGTGGAAGGCAGTTTCTCACTGTCCCCCTGTTTTTAACTGGCAAGGAATTCACATTTCCCAAGTCAAATCTTTTTTGCCCACAATCAACTGATCCCTGCCATCTTCACCTCTACCCACAAGCTTTTAATGTTCTCTGTGGAAGAGAGGGAGTGAGAACAGCTGGGTGAGATCTGGCAGCAAGCTGAAGTTAACCCACCACAGCTCTCACATTGAGCCAGCTCACAGACCATCCCTTACAGCACCACCATGGTTCAGCAAGTGTCAGCACAGGGAAATGAATGGATCAGAAACAGATAACAGCTAAACACTTCTGCTTCAAGAAAATGCTTGTGAAAGTATGACATGATTCTATCAAGCTTGGACTGTATAGACTCCCAAACCAAGGTATAACTGGGGCTCCTTCTACCTGTTTAAGCTAGTTTCATCAGATGGAGCTTCGCTTCCCAAGGATGAATGCCATGCCTAAAACTCCAACGAGAGTATTAGTTATTCTGATCTCCTGCTGAGCCAAATGGCTACAGGCATTTGGACAAAGTCCAAATGAAGTAGATTTGGTATATGTAATCCAACTAAATAATTTAAGAGAGCAAATAAGCTCTTAGGCACACAAGCTCTTCTTTAGATCAAACTAAAGCAAGCAACCTCAAATATAAATGCATCGTTGTGCAGGAAGGGCTCAAATTTGCTAGTTCAGTCTTAGAAGAAAAGCATTTCAATACAGAAATGTGTATCTTTTTATTGACCAGTTGGCCTAACAAAAGTTATCACTGCACATAACCTTTGCATTGCCTGGATTTCAGTAGCAATTGACAATCAATATTTAACTGAATTAATTGAATATTTAAATCTTTAGTCTCTACACTTTCACACCATAACCTAACCAGTACCATCACCTGATTAGCTATTCCCATGTTTACTTGCTTTAGATCTCTGTGAGGATACAGAGATGCACTGCAGATAGATAGATATGATTAGTTCCAAGTTATCTAGCTGTTCCTTGCTAAATCATCTTAGTACCTAAGTCTCTTCAAACAAGGGAGTGTCACTTACATAGATCACTTCTGACCACTTCCTCATCACCTCTTGAACTAAAATGACAAAGCTTTCCAAACACCACTTTCTAGAAATGAAGTCTGCAGCCCTTTCAGGGTTACAGTGGCTCTTTTCACTGCCACATTTCAAGGACCAATAATGACAGTCAATTAATTACTGCACAAAAACTATTCCAGTTACAAAACTGCAACCCCAAATAACCTCTTCAGCTGGAGCATCACATTTTACTAAACACAAGGGGACAAACTGACAATCATCCACTATCATTTTTAGTCCCCTAAACTCTCCGTTTTCAGGTCCACATTCCCACTTAAGTTGCAAATATCCTTTGTGCCTAGGGTTCATCCACATCCGTCACAGAACAGTCGAGAGTTGTTTTAGTGCTTAGAAATCCAACCTCTCAGACTTTAAAATGACTTCCTATTTCATAATAAATCACAGCAGATCAGGGTTAAGTAAATCCTCAGTGTTATCTTAACATCATGACCTGGGTGTTCAGTGGTTCATTAACACAATCAGAAACATGAACAGAACCTTCTGCCTGGATTCACCTTTTACAGCCTCATACCATCATTGAAAACAGCTTAGCAGTTTATAGGGCATTTTGTGCCAGTTTTTCAATTGTGTTGGTGGGTTTTATTTTCAAAAACTATTGATTCATGTTTTGCTCCTTATTTGAACCAACAGCAACGGGTGCAAGATTAGAAACCTCCTTCTGAACTAGGGCTTCAATTCCCTCTTTTTTCTACTCACTCTGCTTTCCAACATCAGCTCCATAAATAATACCCACTCCTCACCCCCTCTCCAGTAGGTTTATCCTTTCACATCACATACACTGTTTCCAACTATTCCCTGTTAGCAGACAACTGTACTTTCCTTTCCAAAAGGAACATGAGGTAATAAGCCAAACTTTTCACACCAGGTTACATGCTACATGTTCTTTTATGTGTAGAGAACACTGTCAGAACACAACACCATCACTAAATTATCCCATCTTGCTTCTCCACTTGGACCACTCCCATATGACCTCCCTGATCTCCCCTCCTCACTACCAGCCCCTGCACATTTTGACACAGCTGCTTAAACTGCCGTTTCTGCCATATTCTCTCCAGACTGTCTCACAAGATTGCAATGTTTGGCTACCTTAAGTCTGTTAATTACATCCATGCAACCTTGAGTAATTGACCTAAGAGTCAAAGTATCAATCCAATTATTTCTGAATGCCATTAATTTTGGCTATACTGTACAGCATTCCATGTGTCAGGCCCTCCTTCCTCTATAAATCTGCTGTCACTTTAGATTCAATAAGCTATTTTTACTACTAGACATTAGCAAGTTGAAAGTTCAAAATATCTAGACTAGCCCAGACTTTCTTCTCACCCAAACACTCAAACATGTTTACAAAGACCAAGAACAGAATACAAAAACCATTAGCTGAAAAAGTAGGAAAACCCCAGCATTCCTTTCACCAAGGTAAAAAAGTTGGAGTAATGACTGTTCTCAGTTAACTTTATCATCTAGCAAAAAGCAATTCTCAGTTGAGGGGAAAAAAATTTATTCTCATTTGGCAGTCGTGTTTCTAGCTATCACGTCCAGATTATTCAAGTCATTTGTCTGACAACACAAATAATTAATTCTCTATTATCTTGGACGATGCAAGTTATGTTAACACAACTCAGGTGAAGAATGACTTAAGCATTTTTTAGGCTTTTAGCTAAATCTCAAAGTTGATGGGGCTGAAATTAGGTGTGAAAGTGAAGCATGATACCCATTGCCTCTATTACCTGGAGATGGAACAGGTGTGTGGCAGTTTTGAAGGGTCCAAGAAAACAGTTTCTAAAGTTGGAGCAAACTGAGTGAGCTGTCATACTACCTGCACACCTTCAATGTCTTCAAGTAATGGGAAAGTTATTCAGAGACTTTTACAGTTTCAAGAGTCTTTTTTATTAGACATCAGTTTAGTCCTTCTAAAAGGTATTGAGAGGTTCAGTGTAGGCAGACGGAGCTGAGAAATTACACTGCATGCAACACTCAGAAAACAGATTAAGAAGTGGATAGCATAGGTCATGCAGCGAAAGAAACAAGATGCAGGTCTGTGCTGTTTGCCTCGACCAGAGACAGAAACTGACACTGACCTGGGGGTAGCTGAAGTCAAGGAATTGCTTCCACTTCTGCTATTTGAAGTAAAGGCATCATGGTTATCATCTTCAATTTTAACTCTCTTCGTTTCTCTTTCAGGTTCAACTGAGTTTCGCATTGCTTGACGAGTAATGTTTAGTGGTGCTGCTTGGAATGTTTGTTTGTTTGGAGAAGCATCACTTTGCCCCAAGGCCTTGGAGGTTGTGTTTTTTCCTTCCTTACTTGGCAACTGAGCAGGAGCAGCTTTTTTTATTGAAGTGTTTACGCTGTACAAGTACGCACAAGTAGTGTTCACCGGAATCTTCTCCCTCTTCTTTTTAATTTTAGGGCCTTTAAGTAATTCTAAGGAAAAAGAAATATACCTTTCGTACAAAAGTGAAGCTGGAATTAACTTGTCCACCAAAATGTTCATAATAAAGCTCAAAAAGAACATTTCACATGACTAAAGACCTTAGAATAATTCTTAGAAGACAACTTATATCCCATAATGTTCCTTCATATAATAATCCCAACAGAAGTTAACTTGAATAAAGAGACATCTCTCTCTTTCTCCCTGTCCACTGTCACTTTTCACTGAGGCTTCTAATTAGATGCTCTGAGCCACAAGCTGCTGGAGTAAGCCGCGCCACAACTACGATTTTCAAATTAAATCCTCGGAGTATGGCCAAGTACAAAACTAATTGACTCATCTAGTTTACTGTTCACAGAATCACAGAATAATTTGATGTAGAAGGAACCTTAAAGCTCATCTAGTTCCAACCCACTCCCATGAGCAGGAACACCTTCTATTTGACCAGGTTGCTCCAAGCCCCGTCCAACCTGGCCTGGAACACTCCCAGGGATGGAGCAGCCACAGCTTCTCTGGGCAACCTATGCCAGTGCCTCAGCACCCTCACAGGTAAGAATTTCTTCCTAATATCTACTCTAAATCTTTTAGTTTAAATAGATACATCTTCCTCCACAGTCTAGAGCTCCCCTGTTTTGCACATCAGCTGTTTTTCAGGTGGGCCTCTGCTAAAACTTAATCCATATTAACTCAAGCTACTAAACAGTTTTTCTTCTAAATACTTAGCACCTTATTACAAAGCTCCTATAACCAGCATTCAGAAAGCTAATGCTTCTCATCACCAGAAAGCCACTGCTTCTATTATGAAAACCACCTCGTGAGCATTTGTTCTCACCCATTTGTTCTCTCAGCTGGTTATTCAGCTGTACTCCGTAATGCCTCTCAAGTACAAGTACTAACTTGTACTCATTAGTCTTCTAAAGTTAGTGTCAGTGCACATACTGACATGAGGTCCTTGAGCAAGAAGTGCTTTTTCATTTCAGTTCAGCTGTTTTAGGACCAGGTTATTACCAGAGACAGCGATTTCAAGTTTAGACTACACTAGAAACTAAACTAATGTCTTCCTGTTTAATGTCATCCAACTTGTGAAGGTAAGGAAGATCAGACAGTTATTTTATTCCATGTTAAAAAGTAGTACTTACCTTGAGGTTCATATTTCATTTTTACATCATCCAGCATCACTCTCAAGTTCATATTCTCGGTCTGACAAGCTTGCAAATTCCTCTCACTTGTAAAGAGTTTCCTTTCTAGTTCCAGGACCCTCTGGCTCTCATGCAGAGCTTTCATTCTCTGCAGGGATACTTCATTTTTCAAGGTTTCGGTTGCCTTGCTGGGGTGGGAGGAAAATTATACAGTCAGATGTTGTTTGGTTTGGGTTTTTTAGTAAACCAGCAGGTGCAAAGTCAACTAAGCATTCAACAACTTCACATCAAATTGGTATTTATACACTAGTAGAAAAAACCGAAGCTTTACATAAAGGTGTTACTCTAAACAACTAAAACAAACATAATTCTGTGAATACTTGTGCATGTCTTTGCCTCTGTAGCAGAGGTCATTCACTCACATCACAAGCACTGAATCACCATAGCTCAGCAACCCTAAGGTACTTGGATCAAACCAGTTTCTCATGTAGCAGCAACAATGAGGTGACAGACTTTGTCAGCAACTCCCACAGCAGACCACTGCTGCCTGCTGGCAGTGCAATTCTTCCATCCAAGGGCTTAAAAACAGTTCTGAGGCCAAACTATCAACTTGCTAATTAATAAATAAGGAATTCACTAGTCAAAGAACATCTCAACTAGACAGTCCAATAAGACATTTCAGTTATTATTATCTGGCTCCTTTGATCAGAGAAATAAATATACAGAGCCTAACAATTCCTATACTAAGAATCTTCATAGAGTTTCCTTACAGATTAAGTTTTAATTTATTAAAGTTCTCAATTGTCCTGTATGTAAGAGTATTAACAACATTACTGGAAGAAAGCAACAGTAATATACAATAGTTCTGCTGCTGTCTTTTAAAGGGGTAAATGAAACTACAAACAGAACAGCTTTCGGTCCTACAATAAAGTCAGGTTGGTTCCATGGCATTCAAAAATGGGACAAGGAGCATATTTGCACATAGCCAGTGAATACAAACTGGAGCAAAAAAGGAAGAATAAAACCAAGTAGCTAGAAGATACTAAAACCAGCTTCTAGGTCTCAGACTGTAAGTACGTACTTTGAGTTGTCAAGTTTAATTTGCAGTAAATCCACATAGTAATAATCTTCAGACTCTCCTCCTTTTGAGCTACCACCAGGTCTGGATTCCTCCATATTCTCATACAAAGTCTGATAAAGAAAAAAATGTCAGGTTGTCAGCAGTGACCTTTCAGAAGCACATTAGCTTAGTTCTTAGGTGACACTTTTCATGCATTTCTGTGGAGAAGCCTCATCATCGAGGACTTAAGCACAGAAGATAACTCAGTTGCTCTGAGTACTTCCTCACTTGTTATAAATGTCAAATAGCACTAAAACTGACAGTTCTCTCTCACTCACTGAAGAAAAGGAAAAAAGCAAGCTATCTCAACTCCAGAAGGTTTTCAAGTAGCACTGCAGAACACTATCTTCCTTTTTACTTGAAAATACAGGATATTTAGTTAACCCACAGGAAATTTTTTGGCATTTGTTTCCAGGCTTCAGCAGCCAGACCCCAAAGGAATCCAAGCCATGCTCATCAGTGCTCAACATCTCAGAATCAGTTACATCTTTCAGATGAGGAAGTGGGTTCACAGCAAAGATGCCATAAATGCTGTAACGTGTGACACTGGGGTTGTTGTTTTGTTGGGGTTTTTTTCCCTGAAGAAGCTGTACTGAGACTTCATACTGCCCCAACAGACGTCACAGGCCTCTGGTACTCACTGACTACAGATACCTTTGATTCAATTTCCTGACACTACTTGTTGTGGCCTAGAGTCAGAACTAAGTACAGCTCAAGCTTCTACATGACAAAACTGGTAAAAAAAATAATAATCAGACATTCTCAATTGCTTGCTAAAATGGGTTAAGTCTGGCTTGGCACCACTTGGGTTAAATACGGAATAGAAGAGGCTATCCTGGAAAGCATAATCCTACTGCACAAGTTAATACACCTCAGTTTACATTCCAAAGCTGTCATAAAGAAAGGGCTAAACAAGTCCAGAAGTATGCAAGAATTAAGCAATGCTACAGTTTTACACTCTGTGAACACACAAACATCAATAACATTACCACAGTCCATATAGAGGTCTTCACATATTTCTCATCTTTCAAAATACTGACAAGATGTTATAGAGTTGCTAACAGGACTAAAAAATGGCTTTACAAGGCTGATCAAGCAATTCAGCTTTTCTATAAAGGAGTGTGCTTCAACTGCAAAGTTAAGGCACATTAAGGAAATAAATATCCAGGAAATCCAATATAGCTGAGAGACTAACAAGTGCTAAAAGCCTAAGCACACACAGTAAAAGTGTGAAATGGCAAAGCTTTCCTAGAGAAAAATCGGATGTCACAGCTCAGTCAGCTTTGACTAGTAATTGAATTTAAACACTACAAGCAACTGTGCAAGATATGAAGGTGCTACACACAGGAACCCACAAAAGTAGTCTCTTCAACCAAGAGGTTGGGTGGCACAGAATTTTCTGCTTCTCTGAACTTCAGGAGTAAATGTTCTCTAGCTGTAAAATAAAACTTGGGTCAAATAAAGGTATGAGTAGGTTTTGCATCCCTTTGTAAAACAGAATATGGACTTCAGATAGTTTTTCATCATTCTTCTTATTCTCATGTTCTAAATTCTGATTATTTCCAATGAAACACAAAGCACATACCTTAAATTTTTCTAGTTGCCTCACTTTCACAAGGAGATTTTCTATCTCACCATTCTTTTGCTCTAACATTGACTGTAAGCGTTCCAGCTGATCAAATTCTGCCTGAGAGCCTTTCAGCTGCAGCAGTGTAACCATTTGAAGCTGGAAAAAAAGGAGAAAAAAATAAAATCTTTACAAACACTGGGATTAGTGAGCGAGAATTTCAGCCCCTTACACAGAACAGTAGAGGTACTCAAGCCTTGTAATTCTAATCCTGAATAGAGAAGTGCACTGGATGCTTGAACTCAGCCTTCACAATATGGTTTTAGCAATTATCACCTTAGACTGACACTAAAAATCATTAGGACAGCTCAAAGCTTACTGAACAGAGCAGTCCTGAGGTGTGAGGCCCTTCTCTGTATTGACTAAGGAACCTACAATTATACTGTCAAGGTCACACATGACATTCCACATTCAAACCATAAACACTAAGTCAGCTAGAACCCAACTACAGTCCAGGCTTATTTATCAGCTAAAAATGCATCTCTCAAGAACTTCTCACTTGGGAAAACCCACAAATTGAAAACCCCTTTATTTCTCAGTTCTGTTTTTGAGGTACATCACCACCATGTTTGCCTTCTGTAATATCAATCCAAGAATTTCAGCTTTTTTCTGTTCCTTCAGTGGAACACATCCTTTCAAGCATTCCGTCATTACAAAGCAAAAGCTTATCAAAGACAAGTCTTGCATTTAGAGCAGATTTTTCTGATGGTGTTAACATAATACCATAGTACAAGGTCCTTAACACCTTTAGTTACAAGTGACACATCAGACATATAAACAACTGGAGAAATGAAACGAAAAGCAGAAAGACTTAACAGGGCATTAGTGGTAACTGAGGCATTTTTGTCACTCAGGTCAGTATGGATAAAGTAACACTGCAGGACAGAGAAATCACAGGGAAAGGATCAAGTGAAACAAGGTAGATTAGAGATTGAGAAAGAACAGAGAGAAGAGCATTGACCTTACAGAATCTCTTAAGTGAAGGATATTGATGATTCTGTACACAAACTAGAGCTAAAGAAAGATTCCATCATCTCCTCATAGCTTCTACAGGACAGAAGGAAGGCAAAATTTTAATCCTTCCCCTGCCACTGACTGCCTAAAACTATTCTTACATTTCCCCAGCACATGGACACCTAACCTTTTCCCCTTTCACTTAAGGGCCCACTTACTCACTGTCAGAACTGCAAATTGCAGTTGATCTACATAAAAACCAAGAACAGAAACATTAAGAAACTGGAAGGGATACTGTGGGCTGTGGAAATACACTAGAGGTGGCAGAACTTTCACAGGAGTACTGTGCATGTCCTGTTCAGGACTCAGATCCTCAGGAGTCACCAGTAAATACCACACTGACACATTCTGGCAACTAAACCTGCAACAACAGTTACCTATACTGTGGGAATCAGCTGCTGAATGGAGAGATCAATTAACTACAGATTGAGCTTTAACACACAGCATCACAATGCCACACAATGCAGAGAGGATGCTGACAAGGATCTGAGATGGCAGTTTAGGCCAAACAGCTGTCCTAACAAACTACCTACCTCCAACAGCAATACTGGAAGAAATTCTATGAGTACATGTCAGGGACCGGAGGAAAAGTGTCTGGCTCAAAAGAATCAGTTAGGAAAACTGTGGGGGAACAGGTGGTGCTGCTCCCCCTTCAGCCTCTTGAGCCTCAGCAGCTAACCACAGGTCTGCACTGGAATGGCCTGGGTGAGCATGTGGCCTTGCTGCAAGCCCCGAGGTGGATGCTGAAGCTCCTGGCTCAGCCCAAAGCCCAGCACAGGTGTGAGCTCACACTGGGACAGGCCCTGGGCAAAGGGAATGGATAAAAGGACAGTGAGATGTGCCACATGGTGTGACCCACTGTCCTGGGGTGGAAGCTGATAAGATCACCCTGGATCCAGGAGTGGTGACTTATTTACCTCTCTCTCTCATCTACTTTTCTTTTTCTCCCTACTTGTCTCCTTTGTAAGGTACTAAGTTACAAGCCTCACTGAGCAGTATCTCCTTAATGACTTGCTGAGTGTGTGATCAGTACCTGTCTGAGGTTTTGTTCTCTCAGGGTATGCAGAGTTAAAGTTTGCATGGAATGTTTGAATGCTGAAGTTCACTGATTTTCCTTTTCCCAAGTGTCTTATTCCACATGGGTGACCCAAAGTTCCTAAGTAAAAATTATTTCTTTTTGAATCTCCTAATAATTGAGTTTTTTCTCCCACGCACTGCCCAGAGTAACTCAAAATTACCTTCATCTCAACTCTCCAAGCAGACCAGGGGGTTACAGTACAAACGGGTACAAATTGAAATTGCAAATAAAAGCCTTAAGTAGTACAGCAGGGATGCAAATTTGCCTCAGTTTTTGGTGGAAATTGTCATTATTAGGAATGTTTCTCATACCATTCAATCAGTATGATTGACTTGCCCTCACATTACAGGGAGATTTCTCATGAAACTGATCTTATTCAATGACCTTGTTCACTCAAATCTTTGCTGTATTGGTAAAGTGTTTTGTGCTTGGTTCTTTTTCTTCTCCTTCAAGGATGTTGTTTCAACTCTTTTCAACCTACTCTACAAAAGCTAAGTAACAAAAACCTCTATCTTCAGTGTTACTCATTATCATCACTCTGGCTGTTTAAGTACCCTCCTCAAACTGCATGATCAAGTATTTAATCAAAGTATCCACTTTAGCATTAGAAAAATGAGAAAAATCAACATGAAAACAGTTGACAGTTCTGCAGCATCCCCTTTACATTATCTTGTAAATCAGCTTCTGCCAACTAGTTCTCAATAATATTAGTCAACAGGTTCCCATCCTATAACAGTGTAGACAAAAGTTATGACTTATTCTTGCACCAAAAATAGGGAAAAGCAAGAAAAATATGGACAAATAAAAACAAGAAAGCAACACAGAGGAGGAAAAAACTGCCACAAAACCCCAGAGTGTGATCAGAGAACAGAGTTAAAGCCTGTCCTTTCCTTTACATTCATTCCTGACAACTGCAATTAATACACAAATGAATGACTCATGTAGTACAAGGATTGGACAAGAAAAGTAAAGAAAAAACAATTATCAAGACAAACTGAATGCTAGTTTGACTGACAAGAGTTGTGAAGCAAACATGGTGCCTCCAGTGTAACATGGAGGTCTAGGATAAAGACCACTAGTAACAATACAAAAATGCTGATGTACTGAAGAATTCACACAGCACAACAACGTCTCTTACTTTTTCTCCCATTTCCCCTCCCCCCCAATGACTGTACCATATTTCACAGGTCACAAATCCCCTAGCCTGTGTCCTAAGGCAGTGCCTCATTGGACCCCACGGACAGCCTGGGGTATTACAGTAATGGTCATACCTTCATTCTTCGCAACTGCTCTCTTGTGAATGCATGCTGTTTTTGTAGGGCCTGATATTTTATTTTCACACTGATCAGCTGTCGTTCCATTTCTGCCCTACGGTCCTCCACCTACAGAACATTGTGAACAATTATTACTATGAAATTATAACACTTGTTGTCACTTGAATGATGAGTTTTACATAGCCACGTTGCCTAGCAATTGGAGTTTGGTCTACAAATCCTGCTTTTCCAGCAACAGTACCTGACAATGCGAGCTATTGTCATTCCCCCTGTGGTAGAAGGGAGTAGACAGAGCTGAAGCCCAATCAGTAAAGTGCAACAGATTTTTTTTTTTGTTCTTTTGATATCAGAGTAGCATTTCATATGTTTCAATGTTGCTGTAGAATAGTTTTGTCTATTGGTATCAGAACTGTTTAAAAAAATAAGAACAGAGTATCAACCCATTCCCTGGGAGTTGTCATAAAACAAAGTAACTCCTTGTGCATTTAACAGCTGCTGAATTCTTATTCAAAAAACTAGTTCAAACCACCCCCAAATGCTCAAACACCCAACACTTCAGCATGTTGGTAAAAAACAGCTTTTATCAGCGCCTTGTAATATTTCACATACTATCTTCTACATTACAGAAGGCTTTACCAGCTGAACAAAACCACTCAGAGTTAAGAGCTGCAGACAGAACTGTCATTAGCTCTCAGTCCCAACTTCTATCTTGATAGCCTGGTAACTTCAAGCAATTCCATTAAGTTTACCAATTCCTTAACTTCAGAGCACACATAAAAATGGTTTTCCATATGTCAGATTAACACTGAAGTTGTATTTGAGCAATAGAGATTCATGTCAGGTTAAGTACAAATACTCTTAATACTTTCAGTACAATATAAGAAATAAAGCTTAAATATTTTTTCTCTCCTGTATACATTCTCAGGCATCTGTGGCATAATTGTACCTCGGCAAAGAGAGAATTGCCTTTACGTGTAGGATCCAAAGACTCTTGCACTGCATGATCCAGCTGAACCTGAAGCTCCTGATTAGCTTCACGAGCTTTCTAGATTAAAGCAAAGAGGGTATTAGTCATTTAAGCATCTGATGTACTGCATACATCAATTTAATCACATGGTTTTACCTCTCTTTAATTTCCTATGCTTTAGCACACACTATATGGTACTGCAGTACTTAACTGTGCATACAGTTCTAGTCAGTATGAGACAAATTAATTTCATTTCACTAAAAGGATTAATATTCCACTTGTTCTTCAGCACTAGCACAACTAAAAACCTTTAAAGGTAAGCTTTGATGTTTGTCAACTGGATTAACAGTATTGAGACTACTAGCCTTGCTGTCTTAGTCACACATCCTCTGCCTCCCAGCACATGATTCTCCAAGGCAGTCAGCAGAAACTTGATATAAAAACAAGAATTGTGCCAGTGGTCTGTGGGAAGGTCATTAAGAGGCAGAACAGTGCCACACAAGGCTCTCCTTATCCAGCCTGCCACAAACAGTGCCAACAGAGAGAGCATTTACCAGCAGGCACTACTCAACATGGCTAGCCAATATACTTCTGTTTCCACCTCCCTCCTCAGAACTGCTCAAGACTGATGTTCCACCAAAACTCAAGCACCACAACTGGAGCAATTCAGGGATTATCTACCACTGTAGAATAAAATTAAGAGAATACCTCTAACGCATTACAGTAAGAAACAATTTCTTTTTCCCTCTCTTCTTTTTCTGCCTGCAGTCGCTCCAGCTGGCTACGTAAGTTACTGTTCATGAGTTCTAACTGTTCTTTACTGTACTGCAGCTCATTCAGCTTTTCTTCAGCATTGGCCTAAAAAAAAAAGTATGAAAGAAAAAGTATTCAAAACAACTACAAGAAAAGCAGGCCAAAGTGAACCAAATATTCTGTAATAGTAATTACTCCTAATATGAAATATTATCTTGAACAGATGACATTAAAGTCTGCCTATTAAGGCTGTTACTGTTCGCTGTGCACATTGTCTTAATCCAAGTCAATCCCAAAATAGCAATATACACAAGACATTTAAAAATGAAATGAAGTGCAGATTTTGATCTTCAACTAGGTTACATTGGTAATGATTCAGTGCTACTCACACACCTTCAAGCTTTCTAGTTCAGTGACTTGTATCTGAAGGTTGAGCATTTCTGAAGACATGGTCTCATGCACACGTTCAGACATCATACGCAATTCTTCTGATTTGGCAGCAAGTATTTCCTTCTGATGATCCACTTTGTGTCTCAATTGTTTCTCTGAGAGTCGAGTTTCATCTAGTTCTGCTTTCAGGTCCTCCAACTTAAAAACAGTTGACAAGTAAGTAGTATAATTTTATAACAAATGCTTGAAAAGCACAATACTTCTAACACTGTTCCAATTACAGAAAATGCCTTGAAAAACACAACTTAAGAGTAAACTTTTAAAAACAAGCACTGAAATTTAATGTAATTCACAAGTAACCATGCAAGTGCTTGTTAAAAACCAACCAAGCAAGCTCCTATAGTTGTAACTATTAAGTAATTATTTTGGCAGTTAAGTGTGTAGTTACAAGTTAAATATATAGTATCTAAAATGCTAGTAACAACCTTTTAGCTATATATTAGTTGCCAAACCTTGTTTTTAAGGTCACTGATTTCTTGTCCATAGATTCTGGCAAGCTGTTCTTTCTGTTTGTCCAGTTGTATGTTTTGCTGTTGTTTAAGGGACTCACACTCAAAATTCAAGCTTTCCAACATTCGACTCTTGAGTTCAATTTCTCTCTGGAGAGTGTATTTGTCTTGCTCATATTTCTGAAATAAATATCACACTAATAAATCTAGCAGTAATAGTACATTGTCCTCTCAGCATTTATAAACATGTACAGGCCCAGAACCAAGATGCCTGTAGCTCATTCAATCCTTTGTTGGAGTCCCAATTAGGGAACTGGAATACCAGTATTTAAAAAAAAAAGAGTAACTGCTCTAAAATGCTATGATTTGATTGTCCAATAATCTCTTCTTCATGAAAGCTGTGTATTTCTTTCCACTCAACATGAAGGCTTTGGGCATCTTTTCTGTAAATGTCACATAGAAATTTAGTAAGAGCTTACATGGCCTTTCTACCACCATAGACACCAATTACGGTCAAAATTGTTACAGTCCACAAAGTGTTCCCCTACTGCAGAGCAGCTGAGCTCAATGTTTTTTAAAGACAGCTAAATTGTCTGCTGTTTTGTAATAAATCCCATCAACCTTCCAGGCTGAAGAGTGATTTTATAAACAGTTTCCCTCTCTGCCTGACTGCATGTTTGCTAATTAGAAAGGGCAGCTTCATTTTACTCTTCCACTCAGCCAGCAATTAAGGAGAAGAAAAAACAGAAAAAGGAGAGTCTTTAAAACAAAAAAAAGACAATAAAGCCAAATCAGACTAAAGATGCAGGCTAGTTGGGGTTTTTTCCTTTTCAAAATAAAATAACTCTTAAAACACAAACCTAAACTTTTAAAAAAAAAAATCAGAGCAAAACTAAAAGCTGACAGCTATCAAGCTGATCCCTGGCCTAGACAACAGCTTATCAAGGACAGGCTTAGCTCTTAAATACACAGGACAGGAGTTTTAATGCAAAGATAAAGACAGCATCCAGGAGAGGCTTGGGAATGCATTGCTGGTCAGACCCAAGAAGAGCAAAATTCTAGCATAGTATGTCTACACACTGGTACAGAAGAGTACATAGATTTTTCTGAAAGGCTTTTGTGCCTGCTGGTAGAACTGACACTTGTGTTCACAGTAACTGCTTTGGCTCTCAGATTCCAAAGGGGAGAGCCAGAGATTCAAAAGCTGCAAACAATCTGTTGGATAACCACAGTTCCCACACAAGATGTTCTACTGTTGTTTGAAAGCACACAATCCCCTCCCTGTGCCCTTGGAATCTAAGTTACTAACTGATCTGGTTCACACTAGCTCCTAACTTGGCTCCAGCCTCTCACACAGGATTACAACCTATGGGTGCAGCCTGACAGCACTGCACATGCCATCTCAGCCTGTCACAGGACAGGATGATCCTGCCCTGACTTCCTTATCCCTTGTGCTTTCCAGCTGCCTCTTACACAAAGCTTACTGATGTAAACTGACTAAAATAAAAACTCCTGTTCATTAAGAACAGCAGGGTGCTACAGCCCTTCAGCTGGTACAAGAAACTACACATAACCCAAGAACTACAACAAAACTACAACAAAACTACAAGCAGTTTAGCTTCATCCCAAGAGAAGGGATGGAGGCACAAGCAGAAACACTAAATGAAGACAAGTGGTTTGTCTGAAGCATGGCCTGGCTGAAAACAAACATGAAAATCAAAGTCTTTATGAAAAGTAGAAGAGATTTTCCTAATTTTCTTGAACAATTACTATGAAGAAAACTGGTCAAAACCTCTGTATTTCAACACTACACTACTCTTTTTTTTTTTTTGAGTTGCAAAGAAACTTGCTAATAAGTTCAGAACCTCCAGGTATTTGGAAAATTTTAAAACTTCACGACAGAAGAAACCAATTTTACAGTCTTGCTCTTAGCATTCTTCTCACAGCTTTGAGTGATATAAAGCTTACAGGGAAAGCATATATGAGTGAATTGCTAAACATACCCAAACCACATGCTCTAAACCAAATTTACTTCATACATTTAGTATTCATTTTACATTAAAGGCAATTAATCCTACATGTACTGAACACTTGATGCATAGCTAACTACAAAACCCTGTCCCACTTAGACACAATTATGCTCAACATCTTAAAGCAGAGAGATACCACAAATGCCAAAGAGGTTTATCAGAATTAATCTAGACTCTAAAAGGCACTTAAAACACCTGTGCTATTCAGAAAATAGTTAAAATAGAACAGAGTTCTTGTTTTAAACTTTGAGTAGCTGAAACAGTCATCACCTCAGTTTTCTCAGTCAATTCACGGCGTGTTTGATCCAACTGATTCTGAACTTTAGTTTGGGACTCCAGTAGGTGCAAACCATACTGTGCTGCCTTTCTTCGCTCATTGTCTGCTTCCCTGAGTTGCTGCTTAAGACTTAAAACAGTCTCTGTCTCCATATTTCTTCGTTACTTCAACACTGCAAACACAAAGTTATTAAAAAATACATTGCAGCAAGTTGCAGCAGTGATCTGAAAGTTACTGCATTTCCTTCCTTAACACAAGAATATATTTTCGCATTAATAGAAGACACATGAAAAAGACAGCGCACAAACAGACCTGTGAACAGCAAAATGATAGTTATTTCTTCACAAACTTGGTTCATGTCTTACTTTTCACTATGTCTTGACCAATGGCATGCAACAAAACCACTCCTGTGTACCAGCCTAGTTCCCTAGCTCACCAGTACCAGAGTTAATGCAGTACAGAGCTCTCCTGCCAAGCACAAGAGTGTAAAAGGTTGCATATGAGTTTGTTCATTAAACCCTGAATAAAACTATATGTAAAAGGTATAGGGCAAATATATTCAGAAAACTTTAGAGAAATATTCTAAGTAAAAGAATTTACTTAGTACTTAGAAAGGGGGGGGATGAAACAAAGAAGCTAAAAAAAAGACTAATCAGTGATAGACTGGGAGTTTCTTACTAAGCAGCTGGCGTAGCTGGCGTCACCTGTTTGTTTGTCCTTGCTCTACACTGACAGGCACACTGCAAAGAGAGGAGATACTAACCAGGGCCAAGAAGGAAGTGATAAGAGGAATGGGCCCCAAGAAAGGAATTTAGGGATGCGCCAGCCGGGCAAACAAAGTAAGATCCAAAAGGTAACTAAGAACCTGCTGAAGCAAAACAAGTCAAGGCAGAAGCTCACAGCAGGATCTTATCTTGCTAGATGTGTAGAACACTAACCTTAGGATTGCTAAAAGCTTATTAACACAAGGAATACCGCTAGTTAAGCAATATATGTAAAAAGGCCTAACTGTAGAATAGAAAATATAGGTAAAAAGTTAAAAGGTGTACAATAGGTTTGGGAACCTACACATGAAAGCAGCGAGACGGCAATCTCCAGCTCTCCCATCACAAGGAGGTGGGAACAAGACTGCCGAGCAACAACGGGAACAGCGTCCCCAGCAGCAACGGGAACAGCATCCCTAGCACCAATGGGAACAGCGTCCCCAGCAACAACGGGAACAGCGTCCCTAGCACCAATGGGAACAGCGTCCCTAGCAACAGCTCGCGCAGGCGCAGAGTGCACCGAAGAGCTCCACGGAGCGGGAAATAGAAGAGTCTCAAACCGGGGGCTTTGGGGAAGGGTGTGCGCCGTTTGCGGAGCAGAGACTCCCCGGCCGCCCAGCGCTGTTTGGCTTGCTGAAGCTTTGCTCAATCAATAAATTTCCTAATTGAACTGGCTCCTGCCAATTTATTGGGCCGCAATTTATAACAAATAGAAGGCAGAAAATCACTTGGTCAAAATATTTTCCTGCCCATAGCTGACAGTATCTTCTTTGTATAAATCAAGGCACACCAAGTACAGCATTTCTTGTGTACACAAATAACACTTCAGAGTCACACAGGCAGCTGTATTAGTTGGACAGTTCACTCCTAATAACATTATGTGGGATATAGAAACAGATAAAGGCAGCTGAAGGGAAGAGACAAAAATAGAAACCCTGTTAAAATATATGGAATTTTAACACAGGGATTTGCATTTATTTAAGTGCTTAATGGAGTCTATCATCACTGGTTTTTATAGGCAATTTATTTGTTAATAACCTTTTCCTTGCCCACATTTCAGCAAATTAATCCATTTCTAACTCCAGATAATAACAGAAGGCACTAGGTGAATTTTGCAAAAGTTAGTCAAAATAAATCCAAACAAACCAAATATTCTAAAAAATGTAAATCAAGTCAAATGAACCATAAGCCTGTGGGACTGTTTGCTTCCAAATCTACTAAATCAGCACATTACAAAAAAATTCCATTAAGATAGAAAATGTTAAGCAACTTGGACTTCTGAACAACATATGCTAAGAGTTCTCACAGAAAGCAGGAGGAAACAATGATAGACAAACACATACAAAAATCTGCAGTTATTTTTTCAAAGCCAGGGCTCTTAAGTTTTATAGAATTTCAGGATTAAAGTAATTCTTAATTGAAGATCCAACACTTTGTTCTCATATAACCAATTTATTTGTTGCCATGCCATGCTAGCTACATACTCTAATGAATCTTTGCAAGATGCTAACATAATCAAGAGTATAAATCCATCTTGGCAAATCCATGCCAACTCCTTTCTGAGGCACAAGATAGAAATTGTCAAATCTGGTTTTCATATTTTCTCTCACTTGATGCTATCCACGTTTAACACATACAAAGAGACTTCAGGCAGTCAGGCTCTGGAACTTGAGTTTTTCACATCTGATCATTGCAATGCTTGAAATACCAGCTTGCACACTTGTTAAAATAAGCCACAGAAAGACAGGAACTTTGCATACCTAAAACTAAGAATCATCAATATTATACTAGTGCAAGGACAGGTACACTGTGCACAATTTAATACTCGAGTGTTTCAGGTAAGATGTAGCAATACAAGTATATAGGCAACCACACCATTATTAGAGAGGATGAATGAATCCTTAGTCACTTACATAAACAGGATCTTTAAAAATAGCTTTATTTTCTGACCAAAGTAGAGCATAGAGGAAACACAGGCATTTGATTGCTCCTAGCATACTAAATTAAAGGAGTACCATGTTTAACTCACCTTCAGAAGCCCATTGGAGTCTTTCTGGACCATATTCCTGCACTCCACCTTTAAAAGAAAGCAAAGCAACAGTAGAGCAGAGCGGATGAGCCTAAGCTGCCACTACAGCACAGCCCTCCAGGGCAGTCCAGTGTCACAACAGGCTTAACCCTGTGGCTGTTCATGAACTGCAGACCACAAGCTAAAACCCCATATAAATGCAAATCTTATTCAGATCTCAGTTAAGCAGCTGTCAGACAATTTAGAAACAGCCAGATCAGGCAATGCTGCCAAAGGATGGATGCTCTGCAATTGGCCTGTGGGGCAAGTAAACAGGCTACACCCAGGATCACCTGCTGGCACGAAAGTAATTTTTAAGGGTTGTTTGGGGATTTTTGTCTTCCTGCCTCCTATTTCTTCAATCCCTTTTGCATTTCTCCTCCAGTTTCACATACAAGACCGTTGAGCTCTTAGTAAATCATTTACTGCATAACAGAAGAAAAAATCTTATGGGCTTTTCTAAGTATTATAGTTGAATAGAGAGGAAAAGAGAAATAGCTTTCCTATTCACCCATTTCTTGCTGAATGTTAGGGAAACAGCAAGTATACCTTTTGGAGCACAGCCAGCCTCAATTTTTCATTGTTAGTTCTGGGTGAATCAGACAAGTCCAGCTAGTTTTGCTCATAAAGCTGTACTGTTATGTAGAGAAAGAATCATCTGCAATTTAGTATTATATATGAGGCCAAGTAAACTACCCTGAAAATAATGTTTTAATTAGGCAGCAGAGTGAGCCGGAAGAGAAATAATAGACATCAATCTTCATGTATTCTATTGAGTTAGAGAGTTCCCCACTTTCAACTCATTATCTTTAAACATCTAATGACAGATTCTGTACTGAGGACTGCAGACCTCGATTAGTCAACCATTTGGGTAGTCCTTGGTAAAAACAATAGATAAAAAAGCACTGTCCTGGCAGGGAAACTTTCTTCTCTCACTGTGTAACAGTTCTTCTGCTTAAACTATTCCCAAGGGCCATTTATGACAGCTGCATGTGCTCTGATCCTTTCAGAAGCACCTGCACAGCTTTCTAACCACTAACATAACTAACTGGATAGTTTCTCTCCCTTGACCCAGGGGTTCCTTTGACAATTCCATTCAGTTAGTTACACATTCCTTCACCTAACCACACTGCACACTCAAGATGAAACATTTTCCAGGACTGATCCCCTGCTACAAAAACACATTCTTGGGCGGGTAAGCACTACAAAAAAGACACAAACATCACACTACAGCCCTCTCAGTCACTACAGAGCCCCGGGCAAACCAGCAGCTTTGGGTGGGAACCAGGGCCCTGTCACCTCCGTCCACCCATCCCAGACTGGACCCAGTGCAGCCCCGCGGGGACGCGGAGGGGTCACGGGCAGGGAGCCGCCCCCGCGGGCAGTGCCCGTTACGGCCCCGGCGGCGCGGGGAAAAGCCGA